TGGGAGAAGGGATGACTTAGGAAGTTCATAATTACTCAGCAATGAGAGAAGCCCATGGTTCTGTAGAAAGGCCAATTGGTAATTTAGAGTAAGACTAATATTGAGTCTATTAAGAAACAGCAATGCAAAGTAGCTAGCTTGGAGGGATTCCACTCTGAACGTAGTTTATTTTTAAGGCAACAGCAACAACTAAAATATGAGCACTCTTATACTGAGGAAAGCCATTGATCAGAGTAATTCCTTAGGCTTACACATTAAGAGGGCTCATGCAAAAATTTGGTGAAGAGTAGTGAAGCTAAAAAGAAGGTCCTTTGGGAGCACAACTGAGAAACCTTTTAACAGTTAATGCCCAAACCAAACTGCAAAGACCTGGATTTTTGCAAGCCTTGTAACAGATTCAAACAATTTAAAATATAACATGTTGGCCAGTGGCTAAGTTACCTGTTCGGATACGGTTGTTGAGATTATGGCATTTCTCCTTTCCTCCCAGGAGATGCAGCTCTTCCTCTGGGTTGCGGTTCTCATCCATGCCCAGTTCTTCTTTCTGCATGGCCTCTACCTGGGCTTGGATCAAGGAGGTGAAAGATACTGAACACCAGAGACCTGACTGAAGTCCAGCTCCAATCCCTGCTTTTTAAAGAAAATATAAGCTTCCTGATGATGACACTTTCTACACTGTTGAACAGTTCTCTAACAAGATTGGGAACTATGCCACTTGTTCGAAACTACAAAAAGCCAAACTGTAGAAGTTTCTCCAGTGAAGTCCTTAAATTTCTTGCCCTGCTCTTTCAAACTTGCGATGCTTCCAGAGAGCAGAGCGTTAAATGGGTTATCTAGTATGATACCCACGCTTGTTGTTCTTCACCGTGCCTTTTCCCTTCAACACCCTAAACTTTCCCTAGTAAAACTACCTCATACAAACTCTTGTACAAAGCTTACAACACACACATATGGAGCGGATTCCCTAGTCTCTAGCTCAGCGGCCTCAAAAAACTCAGTTCTCCCTTCCGGCGTTACTCAGCACCAAGTCCGCGATCCCCCACCAGAATCTACCTCTCTGCGGGGCCGCCTAAAAAACGCCTCTTCCCTCTCCGAGGATTTTCCTCGCGCCCCACACCCAATACGACTTCCACCCTTTCTTTTCCCAGAGCTCTGCTGCCCTCTAGAGCGGCTCCCAAAAGCCCGACCCAAACCTCTTCCCCGCTTTTTCGTAGGGCTGGCGGATTTCCGTTATGGTCCGTCCGCTCCTTCGGGTGTCTCTCGCCCCAATTCGTCCGCGGGAGACCCAGGTAAACTCCCCCCCCCCGCAAAAGCCCGACCTCCGGCTCCCACGAAAAAGACTGCCAGGAATCTCGACCTGAAAACCGAAAACACTCCCCTCGAAGAAAGCCCCAAAGCGAAGCAGCGCCCTAGCTTTGCTCCAACGCTCCCGCTGCCCCACCCTGACCTTCGGAACCGGGCCCCGCTGCGCTCTAGGTTCCCTGATGCCGCCCGTCGCTTTCCTCAGGCCCAGGCGATCCTCTTCCCCCCTCCCCCCAGTCACATTCAGCCAGCCAGGCCCCGCCACGTGACCGGCTTCCCTTTAGCCTCCTCGGATCATGTGACCTCCAGAGCAGGGTGGCTTCCGGGGTGGACTCTTTAAGCACGTGGCCCAGCCTCGTCCCGTGATTCTCCTGGTATTAAGTGGCCGTGGGAGGGTGAGGCTCTGTAGGACGAGCTGGTGCGGTTTTTTTCCAAACTTGTCAAACCTTTCCCATACGTAGGTTGTGCGCCTAAACCAGATTCACACGATGCTTCCTGCCCAGGCTTTTGTGTATAGTTGCTCCCCTCTGTGGTCCGTGCAGTAGAATGGGCTAGCCTAAAGTCACCGTGTAACCTTCCCGGGGCGTGAGTAGAACCTGGGTCTGCCCACTATTACATGAACGCCTCAGTTCCTACGCCACCTGGCTCCGAATAGTTTCCACCCGTAGTGGATCGGCCCCACCACATCCAGCAATCAGCTGCTCTCGTGGACTGGAATTATACAGTTGAAACTCGAAATATTAGAATATCATGCAAAAGTTCATTTATTTCAGTAATGCAACTTAAAAGGTGAAACTAATATATGAGATAGACTCATTACATGCAAAACAAGATAGTTCAAGCCCTGATTTGTCACAATTGTGATGATTATGGTTTACAGCTCATGAAAACCCCAAATCCACAATCTCAGAAAATTAGAATATTACATGCAATCAATCAAACAAGGATTGTACATAGAACAATATCGGACCTCTGAAAAGTATAAGCATGCACTCAGTACTTGGTTTGGGCCCCTTTTGCAGCAATTACTGCCTCAATGTGGCATGGCATGGAAGCTATCAGCCTGTGGCACTGCTGAGGTGTTATGAAAGACCAGGATGCTTCAATAGTGGCCTTCAGCTCTTCTGCATTGTTCGGTCTCATGTCTCTCATCTTTTGGCAATGCCAGATAGATTCTCTATGGGGTTCAGGTCAGGTGAGTTTGCTGGCCAATCAAGCACAGTAATCCCATGGTCATTGAACCAGGTTTTGGTGCTTTTGGCAGTGTGGGCAGGTGCCAAGTGTTAAGTCTGGGCGGTAGGTCCCAAGGAGAGACGAGACTCGTGGTAGTGAACAAACAGCTCTTT